ACACACACACACGGGTACAGACGTGCATGCATGCACGTGACAACCTTCGATGCCATACTCAAGAAGGCCATGTGCCATAGTGTCGTTCAGTGGACTAAAATTTACCAATTATGCTAGGCTGGCTGGCCAGCAAACCTTAGGGACGCACCTGTCAATGCTAGCATTATAAACATAGGCCACTATACCTGGCATTTTTGTGTGGGTTCTGGAGATCAAACTCAGGCCTTCCCATTTGAGAGGCAATCACTTTACTGAGTGAGATAGCCTTCAAGCCCTGGAAACTCATGCCTTGCATGCTTCACCTCAGGAATTTAGGCAAAAATTAGGTCATTTTAGTTTTTTAATTTTTTAAATTTTTTAATTTTTATCTTTAAAAATATTTATTTATTTATTTATTTATTATGTATACAATATTCTGCCTCCATGTATGATGACATATGCCAGAAGAAGGCACAAGACCTCATTACAGATGGTTGTGAGTCACCATGTGGTTGCTGGGAATTGAACTCAGGACCTTTGAAAGCCATCTCTCCAGCCCAAATTAGGTCATTTTAGCACAAATATGTTTCAAAGTTAAAACTCAAACCACTTCGAGCTGCCCCTAGCAAATGGAGTCAAACTTTCCTTGAGGGTCAATCCTTGGATATCCACATTGACCCCAAGGTCTCTGTCTGTCTGCCTCTCTTGGTGCTGGAAATCAAATCTAGGACTTCGTTCATGCTAAGCAAACCCTTCATCACTGAGCTTTGTAAGTGCTTTTATTACATCTATTTTGTGTGGGGTGTAACTTTGTGCCACAGCATGGATGTCAAGGTAAGGGGGACAGGTTGTGGGTGTATGTTTTCTCCTTCTATCATGTGGGTTCTAGGATAGATCTAGCATCATCAGGCCTGTTGGCAAGCACTTTTACCCACAAAACCATATCAGCCCTCTTTTTTGTTTGTTTGTTTGTTATTTTGTTTTAATTCTGAGATATGGTTTCACTAAGTTTCTCAACCTGGCCATGGATTTACTTGAATCTGTAATCCAGAGTCAGGTTGCTCATTTATTTCAAGGGAGTCCTTCCCAGTCACTCACGGTAGGGGAGCTTATGAGTCAGCTGTAATCGGTCAAAGCCTCTCCTGCTTTCTATAGCATGGAGTCAAGGCCAAGGCCCAGGTGGTTGGGCTGGACTGTGCGGGATAGAGCAAATGCCTGTTCCCTAGCTACCAGGGTTAGAAGTCCTGCCATCAGCACCAAGTGTAAAAAGCCCAGTCATTCTTGCCTGCCAACCACCTTCAAGGGTGGACAGAGCCCTTGCTCTTAACCTCTCAAAGCACAGCCAAGGACAGACTGCAGACACAGGAAAATGTCACAGTCAGGAGCAGTGGCTGCCAATATCCAGGAATGTTTGCCAGTTCTGAGTTGAAAAGGAGAAGTCTGTTAACCCCCAACTGTTAACTTATTTAAGTTTCTTAGGTGTATTAGATTAGGTATAAAACTTTATTCACAAGGTTCCAACATCTGTAAATTGTAAGCAATATACAAATTGAAACAAAAATGTAAAAATCGATTAGTATTATGTATGTAACACGATAGATAATGTTTTCCTGAAATTATATTTTCTCATGGGATGAGAGTGTGAAGCTCACTGCCATGGTTATACCTAGGGTCAGATGTAAAGGCAAGTGCGGTGTTTGGTTGCAAGGTTAGCAGTAGATGGCTCAGAATAGGCATTGAAATATATTGTTTAAAGAATACGATTTAAATAAATTGTTTTAAAGGATATGACTTAAAGAAGAGCAAAATGTATTTTTTTTTGTTTTAAGAATTTGCAAGTATAGGAGCATTTTATCTGCCAAGTTCATAATACAGGACCCTGTAGTTTTTGATCCCACCCTGAAAACAGTGAATTAAAGCCTGCTTTTTACAAAGAATTTTTGTATTTTAGAATGTGTTGTGTGTGCATGTTTGTGCACATGTGCTGTGATTGGTCTGTGGATGTCAGGTGACAACATACAGGAGTCAGTTCTTTCCTTTCACCATGAGGGTTCCTGGGACTGGACTCAGGTCATTAAGTTTGGTAGCAAGTGTCTTTATCTGTTGAGGCATCTTGCCAGCCTAGAATATGCATTTTTAAGAAGATGTCCAAGTGATGGACATACAGATTAAAATTTGAGAAACATGAACTTATTTCCCAACTTATTCTTCATTGATTAAATATGAAGATGGAGGTATAGTTTAAAGATTTTTTTCTTTTTCTTTTTTTAATTTGAACAGGGTCTTGTGTATCCCTAGCCTCAAACACATTATGTAGCTGAGAATCACCTTGAGTTTCTGATCCTCCTGCTTCCATCTCTTGACTGTTGGAATTTCACACACGGATTGTTATGTGGGTTTTTCTTTGTTTGTTTGTTTGTTTTGGGCTCAAATCCAGAGTTTCACGAATGTAAGGCAAGCATTGCTGAGCTACACGGCCTGTAAAGACACTTTATCCTTCTCTTCTTTTACATCTCTTTGACAATCACTTGCTCCCTCTTTTTCAGGGATGCAGGAAGGTAGGTTTAAGATGAACTCGGAGTTCTCTAGGAATGATAGTAAGTATTGATAACTTCAAAGGGCCCATCTTGGTGACTTCCACTAGGGAGGCTCCATTCGGGAAGTTCCTCTGTTTATGGGAAATATCCAGAATAGGCAAGCATATCGAGACAGAGACTAGATTACAGCCCGGTAAAAGTTTGTGGAGGAGAAACTAGAGAATGAGCAGGAGGCGTGGGATATCTTGTGGGGGTTAGTGATAATTAGTAGTGATAGTTTTGAGGAAGAGTCAGTGGTGATGGTAGCACACCTGGGAATGGCTAACAAGCCTGCCTGTTTATGTGTGCTCTGGGGAATCGGAACGCAGGTCCTTCTGCTTCCACGGCAAGCATTTTACTCCCTGAATTATCTTTCCAGTCCCTATTTCAGGCATTTTCTTGAAACCCTGCCCACTAGTGATTCAAACCTTTTGTTTTTCGCACTGACTTTTATTTTTCCTGCCAGGTAGTGTCCTCAGGCATTCTGAGAGCTACAGAGATGACTAAGAGGCTTTTGCCTTGGGTGGTAGCCGTGAGCAGATCACTGAGGATCAGTGATACCCACACAGGGCTAAGGATTGTGCAGTAAAATGATCATTGTGAAAAGCGCCAAAGGGATGATTAACCTAGAGCTATCTGTGTCACAGAAGGAGAAATGATTTCTTCCAGTTAAATCTGTTGAGCTGTCTTTGATCTTCTGTAGAAGGCTGAATGGATTTCAAAACGGAGAGCCAGAGGAAAGAATATATACTTAGGGAAGAATGAACAAGCAAAGGCTGGGACTGATACATCTCTCTGTCCAACCTGAATTCTCAGACAAGGTCTTATATAACCCAGGCTGTCCCGGGACTTTCTGGGTAGCTAAGGATGCTCTTGAACTCCTGATCCTCTTGCCTCAGCCTCCCAAGTGTCCAAGTGTTCATCACCAGCTAGACAAGAAAAAGTTGGAGTGGATGAGAAGAAGTGATAGACATTGCTGGTTTTTGAAGTTTTGCATACATTTTCCTGAGTAGTAAAGTAATTTTGTTGGCATTGGAGAAAAGAAATTTTACAGCATGTGGATGTTGGGTACTGGGGATGGAACCCAGGACCTGTGACCTGTGTACATCCTGGGCAAGTGCTCTTCCCTCAACTCCCTAAAGAAACAACTTCTTCTTCTTCTTCTCCTCCTTCTCCTTCTTCCTCCTCCTCCTCTTCTTCCTCCTCTTCTTCTTCTTCATTATTATTATTATTTTATTTTGTTATTATTTTTCAAGATAGTCCTTCAGTGTGTAGCCTTGGCTGTCCTGGAACTTGCCTTGTAGATCAGGCTGGCCTCGAACTCACAGAGATCTGTCTGCCTCTGGCTTCCCAGTGTTGGGTTTAAGGCATGTACCACCACCGCCCAGAGGAACTTTTTTTTTTTTTAAATAAAGATACTTTCTGGTGGGGTACAAAGGTTAAAATCAAGAACTAACAAGAAGCCTGCTCACAGAAAAGGGCATTGACACCCCTCCCCTTCAAAAGAGGCAAGGTCCTTAGAGATGGGTCAAAGGGTAAAGGAAAGGAATTTGCTGCCAAGTCTGAAGTCTTGGGTTCAATCCCTGGGACCCACATGGGATTACCAACTCTCAAACCTTGTCCTCTGACCTACACACATAGACACATGCACATGTTTTAGGAATATACAAAATAAAGAAATGGAAGAAAGTTAAATAGAGGCAGAGGAAATACGGGGGTACTCCCAAACTCTCTTCTCCATCATTTCAGTTGAGGTCACCCAGGCCATAGGAATGTCCTATCTATCACCAGCAAATTTGTATTACCCAGAAAACACTAGAGTAACCCTGCTCAAAGCTCTGGCACGATAATACAAACTCTCATTCTTAAAACAAATGACAGGATTTGATTTTAAAAAGCAGTGTTCCTGGCACACAGAAAGCACCCATCCTTTGTTTCACCCGTGAACGCCTTTTGCTTAGGCATTGTTTTCGAGAGGAGGAAAAAATGATTGAAAACTGCACTTCAAAACCTGTACCCTCCGTTAGCACTAAGCTGGGACAACCTGGAGCCAAGAGATCGAGTTTCCCCACTTCGCGCTATCCCCGTCTTTTGTGTCCCTAGAGTTCGTTGGTACTCCCGGGAAGAGGGAGGGGCAGGGATGACAGTCAAGGAACCAATCCCGGCCGGGCTATGGGGTGTGGACACGGAGCCACGCCCTCCTCTCCCTGCCCGCTAAGTCCCGCCTCCCTCGCACCTGCGAGTGCCTACGCTCCTAGGCTCCTAGGCAGGCGCCCGCCCCTCGGAGCCGGGTGGAAGGCGGGAAGGGGGCGGAGCAGGGGCGTGGCTTCACCTCTCGCGAGACCGCCTCCTGTTGCTGAGGCCGCCGTTCCGGCACTCTGACTGGCCGGCGGCCGCGCAGCCGCCATGTTCGGTTGCTATGCTGCGGCCTAGGAGACGGGGTGTGCTTGGGGGAGGAGGAGGAGGAGGAGACGGAGGAGGCGGTGGCGGCGTGGGAGGAGGAGGAAGGAGAGGAGGAGAAGAGGGAGGAGGGTGACCGAGCTTCTCCTTTGCACTCTCACACAGAGCCGCCTCCCTGGAGTCACCCGCCGCCTCACGCCGCGCGCTTTCCTGCTCCGCGGACGTGACATTGTTCTTTAGGACTCCTGGGACCTGTCAGAAATCGGGGATCCGGGACTTGAAAGCGACGTGACTTCGGCCCGCGGGCCGCGTGTTGGGGGGACCGCGGCACTTTGGGGGCGCGTGCGAAGGGATTAGCTCATCTCCCCGCGAGGTGCGAGCGCGCGCCTCCCCGCGCACGCCGGCCCCGCCGCAGCCCCGCAGGATGACGGGGTGCTGGCGGCCCGCGGCCGTGGCGCGGCCGCTGTGGCGGCGTCTGTTCGCGGGGCGCTGAGGGGTGAGCACCCCGACGCCGACCACGCGCCTCTTTCCCCCGGCTGTGCGTCCGGGGCCTCCTGGCTTTTTGTCTGTGCGTTTTCTTTCTTTCTTTCTTTTTTTTTTCTTTTTCTCCAGCCGAGAAGACGCGGCTGTGATAACGAAGGTAAGAGGGGCGCGTGGGGACGTTCTTCGTTTGGCCTTCTTGGGTCCCCTTTGCAGGTCGTGGGCGCGCACCTGAAGCTTGCGGAATCAGGTAGCCGGAGCTACCCGATCGACTCCCCCTTACTGGGTCCGGGTACTCGGATCTTTCTGGGGCTTATAGTTGAAATCTCTGCTAGGGATGAGTGCAAGGTATAAGGGATGGGATAGATGCGAGATGGAACGTTGCAGTGTTCCTGTACTCAAGGTAAGGCTGGTTTAGAATCTTCAGTATTCCATTTGTAGTATCCTTCTTTTTTCTAATTATTATTGTTACGTTAATTGACTCATATAAGCATTTTTCTTTCTTTTTCTTTTCTTCCTTTCTTTTCTTCCTTTCTTTCTTTTCTTTTCTTTCTTTCTTTTTTTTTTTTTTTGCGTGCTGCATGAGCACAAGATCCCTCCCATTGAACTTGGAAGTCTCTTGTGACTCTGCTTGTACCTACTTGTTTTTAGGAATCTGTAGTTGGGCCCCCAAAAGTTGAGATGTAGAACAGATCTGAACTTAGATTTTCATGATGTTTTGGAATCTTCGCTGCCTTCATAACGCTCAGATTCAAAGCGAGTCTGTAGTAAAGGACAGTCCACTGTTTATGGCTTTTTGTAAACGTAAGCGCAGTGATCTTTGGCTTTCTGACTTTAAAATTGGTGCTTATGTGGCAATGTTTGTTAATAGTTACTTACAGAAAAATGGAGCGTATGGATTGTTTTTTATGGACGGGAACGATTCTTACGAAACCTTAGTTACGTGAATTGTCCCAAGACAGAGACAATTCAGAGATTAAAGAGAAGCTGGATTTTTAGAAATTATTATTTTTTTTTAAAGAAAGTTGAGATGTAGTTAAATGCACGTCTGGATGCATTTGCTGTGGTTTCTTCAAAAATGAACAGTTTACAGTTTCACTGATAATGCATGTGGATGTTTCCCTGAAACTTAGACTAGAGACTATGTTTGGCCTTGCATCACAGAGTGACATCAGTGTGTACAAGGACGATGTGTGGGGTTTAAAAACTGCTTGTTCCAGGAGGACCTGTCATATCTGCTAGCTACTTTTGGAATGAGCAATTCAAGAAATATTGAGTGTGTGACCAGATCTTGGGTCCAGATGAAATAACACAGTTCATTGGTCACATGTAAAACATGGCTGTGGAGGAAAAACAAAAACAAAAAGCCAATGTGTCTGACTTTTAAAGATAGTTGGGCTAGAAAGGAGACTGGGGCATTAATGCCACAACTTTTTGAAAATCCTGGGTTTGTGAATATCATTGTGTCAGAGGGAAAGCATGTTTTCCGAAAGGGGAGGGGGTTGCCTTAAACAGTTATTCAGTGTGCTTAAGACTAAACTAGACTTCTTATTTAAGTCTCAAATTTGAGGATCACAAATTCAGTGTTCTTTTAAGGAAAAAAGTTAATTTGAGAAGAAAAGCTTATGAGTTAATTTAGAACCATTTTTATTCCCACTCATAATCTGAGATTGATCATCTTGTGGACACCATCCTTTTTTTTTTTTTTTTTTGCTGTTGTTGTCAGAATACATTTCTGCTCCAATTACCACAAAAGCTACTTTTGTGTCTCTTCAAATTTTCTATGGTATTTTTATCTTTGTTCTTATTTTGTGTTGACACCATTGTGCATGGATGTCCCCATAATAATGTGATCTTGTCTGATTTTTAAGATCAACATAGTCTGTGTGTATGTGTGTGTGTGTGTGTGTATATGATAGTATTTTTTATTTACCTAATCTGCTTTAAACATATGCTAAAAAGACTTAAACACAAGGAAACATCACTGTTTTACAGTTTTTCTTAATATTGACTTGGTTAAAGTTTGTTAAGATAGAAAAATCACAGATTCCTCAAAAGTAGTAAGAGATGTGACTTATTTCAGCTTTCTGATATCTAACTTCTAGGTTATGGGGAAATTATGTTCTCTTGTTCTCTCCTCCTCCACTGTGTCCTAATTGAGTATCTTTAAAATATCCCTAGTAACATTGTTGCTTTAAATTTATGACACTAATTTCTAATTTAGGCTAGGCATAACACCAGCATCTATTGAACACATTTGCTAAAAATACTTTCTGGGTTGGATGTACTTAGAATGCAGCCTCAGGAAAATTCTCTTGAACTGTTCTACTGTGACCAGTATAGATGTTATTATTTTTTTAATAAGAACTTTAATAAAAATTACAGAATCCTACAAATTAGTTTTTATCAGTTTAGGCTTAGGTGCCACCTTTTGATGTATAAAGTGAAACAGTAGTAAAATATGTGATAGCAATAGAAACTTCAGTTTTTTTTTTTTTTTTTTTTTTTTTTTTTTTTGGTTTTTTCGAGACAGGGTTTCTCTGTAGCTTTGGAGCCTGTCCTAGAACTAGCTCTGTAGACCAGGCTGGTCTCGAACTCAGAGATCCGCCTGCCTCTGCCTCCCGAGTGCTGGGATTAGAAACTTCAGTTTTTAAGAAAACTTAATGTGAACTCTATTGACTCTATTGGTTTGTATACTTTGAAATGTTTTAATTTAATCCTTTGTACATAGAGTTGTAAATGATATACAGTTTGTATTGTTATTAACTAAGTACTTGTGGCTTTTTCTCGACTCTGAAAGGAAGATCCATTGCTACCTTTTTGAGTAAATTCTGTTTAAGGAACAAAATAGGAAATTGGGAATTTAAAGGTGACTCTTATTGAGAGTACTTCTTTCCTTCCCTGAGAGTTAGGTTGTTTAAAAAGTAAGAAATTCCTTTTGTTGTTTTGTTTTTTAAGACAGGGTTTTACTGTTGAAACAGCTCTGGCTGTCCTGGAACTCTCTTTTTAGACCAGACAGACCTCAAACTCAGATCTGCCTCTGCCTCCCAAGTGCTGGGACTAAAGGTGTGCACCAGCACTGCCTGGCAAAGAGCAAGAAATCTTAAAGAAAAAAATGTAGGAGTCTTGTTTGGTAGATGTTAAGGGCAAATGGTTTAAAGGTCTGTTTGAATTCTTCATATTAGGAATGTAAAATTGGTGAACTTGTTAGGAATGCAAGTTTATGTGACTTAATGTAGCTAAATATAAATTCTTGCTCATAAATGAAATTTGCTTATTGATAGAAATGTACTGGTTCACAACTGAGTTGAGTTTTGTTATTTTTCTGGGTTATTACATGTTACAAAGTTTTAAAATGATACAGTTCAGAGATGTTAAATTTGCTGGCTCAGTAGAAGTATTATGAAGCCTTAAAGATTGATTTAGCTTCCGGAAGTTGGGTTTTTGGGGGGTGGAGAGGGCAGTAAAATACTGCAGAGGAATATATTGTTGTATTTTCATAGAATGTTCAATCAGTGCAGATAGTGCAAAGAAGAAGTATATAACTATTCTTTCCCGGCATAGAACAGTTGTCTAGACATTACGATTTATTTTATATTCTTTTTTTTAAATATTTATTTATTATGTATACAATATTCTGTCTGTGTGTATGTCTGTAGGCCAGAAGAAGGCACCAGACCTCATTCCAGATGGTTGTGAGCCACCATGTGGTTGCCGGGAATTGAACTCAGGACCTTTGGAAGAGCAGGCAATGCTCTTAACCGCTGAGCCATCTCTCCAGCCCCCTATTTTATATTCTTTGAATGAGAACTCAGTATAGTCATATAAGATACAAGGGACACTTAATTATGTTCACAGTCATCTTTTATTTCATTATTCCCAAGTAGAAACATTGGAAGAGAGGTTACAAGTTTTTGAAGAAATTGGTATGAACAGAATGGGCAGTCTTCAGAGGAAGGCATTCATTAGGGAGGCACACTTACTTGTGTCTTCTAATAGGGTGTTCTGTAGAGTAGTAGAAAGAGGAGGATCCTCAGGGAAGAATGTTAATATTTATTACCTGTTAAGTTCCAAGCAGTGTACATATAAAGAAGCTATTTTACTCGATCATCAAGTATATTTTGTGAGGTGTATATAAGGTCAGTCTTGTGTCATCTGCTCCCCTCCACGTGGAATTCAAACCATACCTGGCTCTAAGCTTATTCTTTAGAGCAATGCAGTCCAATTACATTTTCTGTAGTGGTGGAAATACTTTCCCCTCTTTCACAGATTTATTGAAGTATAATTGACAAATATGAGGGAACTATTTTTTTCCCTACCCTGTTAGATATGGTAGCCATTAACTATGTATCGGTTATAGAGCACTTGTAAGTATGACTCTGGTATATGTGAGAAACTGAGTTTGAACTTGGATTTAGTTTTAATTATTTTAAATTTCTTGCCAAATGTGGTTGCTGGTTATGTACTCTTGAGTAGCACAGTTTTTAGATCTTGCTTCCTAGAAAATCCAAGGTCTGGCATTTAGTCTTCCCAGGTTTAGTCATGACATCAAGGCTGCTTACTTAGTTCTTGAGCTTCAGCTTAGCCTGTCGAGAAATGAAGGGATTACCACTGAAAGATTGTTTTCAAGACCCCACCTTGCTTTAAAGTTCAGTTACTTCTTATAATGTACAATGGCACTTAATATTCACAAACATTTCTGAAGGGGTTCTCCCTCTCCAGTTTGTTCATCGTTCATAAAGGAATTTATTTTTGAGAAGAATATAAAGTACACAGAGGATAAGGGGTTATTTTCTGCGCATACTCCCATACAAAGTTGTTTGGTGAGAGCATTGTGTGACCCAAAGCAGTACTTTATTTTTTTTATTTATTCCAGTGCAGATCCAAGACAACGCTAGGTAAGTTCTCTGCCACTGAACATTACATGTTGGAATAAAAAATGAATCTTTAAAGATCCAATTAATTTTTTTTAAGATTAGCAATTTTAAAAAATAGGTTGGCACTGGACTTATGAAGCCACAGGGAAGAAACAATCCTTGCCACCTTACCATGTAAGATATATAACTGTTCCTGGTACTTATCAAAGTAATTCTTAACCTGTTTGCTGGTCTTGAAGACTTTTCTCTCAATTTGATCTTGCTGACCCTGTTCCTTACTTAG